AAGATTCTAAAGAATAGTTAAATTATATAAATGAATGAAACATACAGAAAGAAAAGAACTAAAAGGGATAATACGGACTAAGACAAAAATTCTCCTGTGCTGCCTTGTGGAGCTTTATGGTAGAAGTTTCTCCAAGAGGTGCCTGCTGGAGCGCACGTGCCCATCTCCAAACGTCCCCTTCGTGTCTCTAACTGGTCGAAGGCCAGGTCCGCCTGCAGAGGAGGATAGAGGAAGTTTCGGGAGACCTGGTTCATCTTGGGTTATGCCAACCAATGCCCTCACCGCTTATGATCCTGGATGCCACCTAGTGTAAAGAGTGGCAGCCGTTGACTTTTGGGGCCCTACGAGATCCAACCACAACAGTTTTTTGATTATCCGTCTTAGAGACGGAGGGGCTAAGTTTCCTCTGATGTGGATCCAGGGGTAAGAAGTCCTCCGGTGGGTCTCCTCCTGATCTGACTGTGGTACAGGATCCCCTCGTTGAGCAAGAGGATGAAGAACCGGCTCCTGCTTTGGAACAGGAGCAACTGGATACAGATGTCAGTCCAGACTTGTCACTTGATGAGCAAGTGGGTGTGGCTTCAGCCTCCTTCTCTTCTGAGGATGCATTACAGTATCATAGAGTCAAAGAATCGTAGAATAGCAGGGTTGGAAGGGACCTCAGGGGGCCATCTAGTCCAACCCCCTGCTCAAAGCAGGACCAATCCCCAACTAAATCACCCCAGCCTGGGCTTTGTCAAGCCTGGCCTTAAAAACCTCTAAGGGAGGAGATTCCACCACTTCGCTAGGTAACCCATTCCAGTGCTTCACCACCCTCCTAGTGAAAAAGGTTTTCTTAATATCCAACCAAAACCTCCCCCACTTCAACTTGAGACCATGACTCCTTTTTTTTGTCATCTGCTACCACTGAGAACAGTCTAGATCCATCCTACTTGGAAGCCCCTTTCAGGTAGTTGAAAGCAGCTATGTAGTCCCCCCTCATTCTTCTCTTCTGCAGACTAAAGAATCCCAGTCCCCTCAGCCTCTCCTCATAAGTCATGTGCTCCAGCCCCCTAATCATTTTTGTTACCCTCCGCTGGACTCTTTCCAAGTTTTTCCATCCTTCTTCTAGTGTGGGGCCTAAAACTGGGTCCTATTCAACGTATTTTCTGATACAGAAAAAAGATGGGGGTTTTGCATCTGATCTTCAACTTCAGATATGTAGAGAAGTACACCAGACAATTCCGGTTTCAGAAGTTAACGTTGCCCTCCATATTTTCCTCACACAAAATTATAGATTGGTCACCACGCTCAGCTGAGAAGCTGGGAGTTTCCATATTGCTATCCAGTGCAGTCATCAAAAGTACCTGAAGTTCTTGGTGTTGAGATGCCATTCCTGATACAAGGTGCTCCTATTTGGGTTGGGAGCAACAGTGAGCTGGGTTTTGCGTGCGCGTGAATGTGTGTGTGATTGTGCCCAGAAAGCAAAGTATTTGCATGCAGCCACTTTCAGCAGCTAAAGTTCCCTTGCATCACATCGAAGTTGCAATCTCCCCCTTCTCAGATCAGAGGCTGCTTTTCAGGGTTACAAAGTCTAATCTCTGCCCAAGTCAGTGGATTCTTTTGATGTGTTTTATACCTGACTCAGTGAAGGGAGAGCCTTTCTTCTGGAAAAAGGACTTTAAGATTATAAGCAGTGATTTACCAAACTCAAGCCTGTCGATAGCAGAAGGTCATTGTCTCTTTGGGACTGATGGGGTTGATTGGAGCTATCACTTATGTAACCCCCTCCGCTCTTCTGAGAATGTGAACAATGCAGCATTCTATGTTGCCAGTTTGCACAGCCTATAGAGACCGTCTTCTTAGGTTTATAACCATGCTCCAGAACACTGCATTTCTTGAGGTGGCGGATGAAGAGATTAAATAGTCACCAAGGTATGCTGTTCATTCCCCCTTCTCCATCCGAGACAGTAACATCAGATGAATCCAGCTCAGGGCAGGGAGCTAGTTTCCCAATTCAGAGTCACTGGGTTTTCCAAGAAAAGAGCTCCCAGCACAATGTGTTGGAATTTGGAGCCATCTGGCTCTGAGATCATTCCTCCCTCATGTAGAAGGGAACATGTGCAGGTGGTAATGGGTAATAGAGTCGCTACAAATTAGCTGAACATACGAGGGGAAGCTCATTCGTTCCACTTCTGTGCCAAAGGGGTCAAGACTATGGAATGGGTGTATTCTTCATTATTTCTATTTGGTGGGCCATAATGATTATCCCCCACCTAACCAGTAAGTAATTGGAATGTATTTCATGATTGTTTCTCTGTCCAGCTTACATGGGAAGGAGATGCGATGAGCTACATCTTTCAGAAATGAAAGGATATCTGCCTTCAAAGTCATGCTTTTCATAAAAGCGCTGGGTTATTCTCCTTCCCGTCCCAATGGAAAAAAAAATATCTTTAAGAAACATCTGTAATTAACTGAACGGAACTCTTGTTTATTATTTGTTATTATTCTTATTCTCTTCCTGTTTATTAGAAAAGAAGATGGGAGAGCAGTTGAAAGCGGAGATCAAAAACAGTCTGGGGGCAACTGAGATATTATTGGAAAAGAAGATGGGAGAGCAGTTGAAAGCAGAGATCAAAAACAGTCTGGGCGCAACTGAGATGCTATTGGATGAGAAGTTAAGAAGTGTGCAAACACAGTTAGAAGCCCGGCTACAAAATCCCCTCTCGGGTCTGGAAACACAGATTAAACAGCTGACTAATCAGTTGTCCGCCACTGATCAAAAAGTTTCCCAGGAAATCGAAAATAAGCTCCAAACTCTGCACAGCATGCTGTTTGCCAGCACAGAAGAGTTGAAGGAATGGAAAGATCTCCTAGAGAAGAAACTTTCAACGTCACAGCCCACTGTGGAAATCAGTCATTTGGAAGAGAAATTAGAACAGCTAGAGAAATCAGGTAAGAGAAGACAATTTTTAAAATACATACATACATAAATACAAATATTTATATAAAATATCATTTTTTACCCCAGAGTAGCATGGACGGGTCAGATCAGGCTGTACTTGCATCAGTCATACACAAGCCCTCTCTGTCGTTGAGAAGAACACCTTCCGGGAGTCTTACTGGAGCCACTTTAATTAGGGAAAGAATAACAAAAGAGGCTTCTAGCCAGTTTTAACAGGTTTTGAAGTATAAAAAGAACCTGAGTGTCCTTTCCTCCCTTTGTGTATTACTCAATGGCCCAAAAACTATGTTAATGCAGAGGTACGCGTGCTTAGTGGTATGTCATTCCCTTGCAGTTCTCAGGTTACCTGACTGATCGATGAAGGCATGATTGTTTACAGCTGGGAGCAGCAACGATTTTTCAAGAAAAGCATTCTGTATATTCGTGTTTGTTTAGAGGGTGGTTTCCATGAATATCTGGAGTTTTATAGCCAAGGACTAGCAGATACAGCCTACTGCATAGAATTCCGGAATGGTGTTAGTTATGAGCTAAGGACCAGTGTTCTAGGCCTTAGAATCCACCATACTCTTTGATAATATCATAAAGATTCTAAAGAATAGTTAAATTATATAAATGAATGAAATATACAGAAAGAAAAGGACTAAAAGGGATAATACGTACTAACACAAAAATTCTCCTGTGCTGCCTTGTGGAGCTTTATGGTAGAAGTTTCTCCAAGAGGTGCC